AAGAAATCTTTTACGTTTTTCTGTTTTACTTTTTAATACAATACTTTGGAATCACTGTGTCCTTTTGATTATCTTTTGGCTACATTTTGTTATCTGCACACCTGTCTCTTAATCTTTCATTCGCACAGGCTGTGAGGATGCCAATGACACCTTGTTTTCATTTTTTTTGTTGTCTTTTTCTGTCTGTTTTACCTCTTCTTTGCCTTCTTTTGTGTTCCTTTTCCATAAAATTGTACCACTGCTTTTTGCTCGGCTAAGCTGGATGAGGTCGGGGTGGGAGGTGGGGGGATGTATTTGAATGATTTGGTATGCAGCGACAGCACCATTCTGTTTCATTGCAGGAGCCTTCGCCTTATCTCCTTAATGGATTATGAGCAAGGGAACAAAAACAGAAGGAGGCAGAGTGAGAATGATTGAACTCCCCGCAAAAGGCCGGCAGGAAACGGACTGAAGCCAGATAAATAAAACACTCTGCCTGTATATTTCTTCTTCCCCTGAATCACAGATGTTATTAAGAAAGAGGACAATAGAAACAGCTTGTAGTGAAGAGTCATTTGAGCTTCTGTAGGCTTTGCCTTCTGATTTGTCTGCCTGCTGGTTGGTAGTGTAGATGTGTTTGTGCATAGACTAACAGCTAGCCACTTTTGACTATAAACACTTTTATTTTGGTCCAGTTTGTCTTCAAGAAAAAGCAGAAACCAAACGTTTAGAAAACTTTAACTATCAAACACTTCAATTAGTCACTCTTTGTGCTTAAAATTGTTACACAGACAACATTTGCTGTTCGTGCAAGCTGTCTCGGCTGAGATTAGTTCTGCTTTAAAGGTTGTTGCTCTTATTTGGTACGGCTAGAGTTCTAAATCTGTGTTTTAGCACATTATTTATTTGGGAGGTTAGGTGAAAAATTGTACTGAGACTGAATGATTTCTATTTAAATGTATTCTGAATATGATCTGCAATAACAGACACTTTTAGGAAATCATTCAAGAGAATGTGCAGAATACCAGCATGTCATAGAATCCATAGATCAGATCACTGCGGCTAACTGGGACTTGAACTTTTGTTTGTTTGCCAGATGCTGATATTAAAAACAGAAGTAATGTTTAACAGTTAAAGGCTGTTGCTCTGTGTTCCCTCAATCATCAATGGTTATTTATATTAATCTGTTTGCTGATAACACCAAAAGTCTTGTGCTTGAAGTGGTATTGATCAAGAAAAGACAGGTTGAGATGAAATGATTCGACCTTCTGGGTCTTCTAGTTCAACAGACATAGTGCTGTTTGTATTCCGTGCAGCCTGGGGTTAAATCCAATTTGCTGTAGCTGTTTAGTGTATGTGGGAATAAACTCTGCTTGAGGCCATAGCGCTTTAGTCTTTTCAGTTTTATTTATCTGACTGACATGGTTTACTTCCAAGAATTCTATTGAAAAACATGCTGCTCTATGTGTGCAGCTGATGACCACTGTCAGCTGATAGGAAGCTTACAACAGCTCTTTTCCTGTTTTTCCTTTTTTGTCACGCTTTTTCCCTTATAACCACCAGTACGATAGCTTTCCCCAAACAGGAACTATATAGTAGCTAAAAAGAGTGGGGATGTTAAAATGTTTCAGTTGGTCACCATCTGTCCACCACTGTACAATTACTAATAATAATGCATATACTTTATACTGTGTCCATATACATTTATATTTCTCCTCTATAGTCTTTATATCGCCTGCGAGGTTCGAGTCAATAACTACAAAATGCAAGCAACTGCTTCCTGAATGACACTCTTGTGCTGTTCACAAACACCAACTCCATCCACAGAGTCTTTGACTCTAGCTGGCAGCGATATTTCTTGGTCTTCTATGCAGACTCGGTAAGGTTAGTGTACACATGAACTGCCTGCTGGAGGTTCTGGTTAGAGAATTAGAAGAAGAACTACTGACATTAGCTGTAGTCCAAGATTATGGAGTTGGAGTACATCCTGCTGTGGAAGTAGAGTCTACGTATGGAAAAGTTTGAAGTTCACTAAATATGTTCATCCAGTTGTGAAAACCATGAATTGTAAAACTGCTTTTCCGTGTTTGTAACTTCATTTAGTTTAGGCAACAACCTTTGACAGGTGGACACTGTTCAGGTTGTTGCTTATTTTAAAGACAGCTGGAAGCACGTTGTTGTCTTTATATGGGGGCAGGTACTCTTTCTGGGATTGTATTCTCAACAGTTTTCTGTGTGTGTGTTCATGGCGTTGAATAATAATAGAGTATCTTGAACTGATCTCTGTGACTATGGCTTTTTGAAAGTTGCATAATGTAAGATTTATATTAGCTGCTAGCACCAACAGGAGCTCATTGTCTCTGTTGAATCTATTGAAATGCGTGTTTGGCTAGACGTTTGCTTGGTAGCCTACAGCCAGCTTAATAACTGCTTGGAATGGTGTTCTGATAATATCTACCCACATTAGGGTGCAGAGAACGTTTGATCCTGTAGCATGTTTCCAGATTTATCTTTGACCTCCTCTGTGTGAACCTTGCAAAGCTCTTTGTGTGTGTGTGTGTGTGTGTGAGTGTGTGTCTGGTTTGAGTACAGTTGGATATGAGATACCAGGTTCAAGCCTTTTCTGCCAAACAGTTCTCTGTGTGTTCCATAAGTACTCCAAAGGAAAAAAAAGCATTTGTGAGAGCAATAACCTTCGGGGGTTGCGCCAAATAAAAATGCTTTTTTTTCTAACCCCCCCACCCCCCCACACACCTCACTCAAGAAGTGTTTGCTCGTTTTCCGTTACTATTCGCTCTTTCTCTCTATCTTTCTCTCTCTTTCTCGTTTTTTACCTTTGATTTGAACTCTGACATCCAAGTCTGCCCCAGGATGTCTGTCACAAACTGCAGTCCAACGTTGTGACAATGCTTTTTTTCTTCCCGTGCCTTTTATGACCTTCTTTTCTTCCTCTTTCTGTTCTTTTTTTCTGTTTTTTCCCTTTCAAGGTCTGGCGCACCTGACGTTAAACGACCAAGGTATGGGTTCATTCCTTTTTTATTTTGGTTCTGTTTTTAGAGGAACTGACTCAGCCCTCTTTGCCCCAAAACTACTGCTTTCTCTCACAGTTTCCTCCTCTGCTTTTTACCTTCCCTCTCTGCCATATCCCACCATTTCCCCCCAAATCCTCCTCTTTGGCTTTTAATCTTTTGCATCATTCTCCCCTGTTGCTGCCCCTTCTTTGTCACATTTTACTTTTTCTTTTTTGACTTTTGGTTATGCCTCCTGCTTCTCCTTCCTCTCCCTGCTGCCATATCTTTGTGCTTTTTTGTGACCGCCACCAATACGTGTCCCACCCTTTGTCCTGTCCTATGGCTCACGTCCTGGACCTTCACCTCTGACCACCTTTGACCCCGACGACCTGACCCCGGGGCTGAAGGTAACACTTTTCTGCTATCCCTTTTCTTTGGGTTTAAACAAGAATAATTTAACAAAACAAAAGGAAGAAAAAAATCCTGCTGATTCTATTGGAAATGTGTTTGTTGGTCAAAATTACAACAGCAAAATGTGTCCACACTCTCATTCACTAACACTTCAAGGTGAAAGTGTTGTCGAATGTGCAGAGTTTCTCTTCACCACTCTGCTGACATTCCCATTGTTTGGCACTCAGATGTTTTAAAGGGCAAACAGTTCAAGTTCTGATGATTCTTGAATTGTCATTGTTATTCTGTTTTGAGACAATGTGTTTTGACACTGCTATGAACACTGGATGTTATTGATGTTATTGACTGCAATGTATACACTGACCTGCATATGTCACACACCAGCTGTTTAACCTCTGCACACCACACTTTTCTCCCTCAGTGTCTGCAAATTTTCCAGAAAGGTGTTTAATTCATGATCAAAGGTTAAATCTGAATATTTGATTGCAATTTGTGCAGCCAACATCCCTTTTAAACTACACTTAGCGGATGTTCATTAGTTCCTCAATTGTATTCATCTGACCTCCAATCTTCATAAAAAAAGTGTTAAGCAAAGCCATTAAAGCAAAAAATGAACAAGTGCAATGCATGTTCTGACCATTTCTGGGGGTGGAGACGTTGCTTTCTTCTATCGTGGAAGTCCATGTTTCAAGCAGGCTTGAACTCCTTCCCTTTCTTTTTACTGTTTATTCTTACTGTCCTGTATTGATACAGAACAAATGAGAGACATGATCAAGGTTATTAAAAATGTCAAATAGGCTTTAGATTTCATCTTACCTAATATAACGTTGTTTGATGATTTGAACCAAAGTCATAGCATTCATCATTTCTGGATTTTTGCTTCACAAAGCTGAGATTAGGCCTTATATAATAATGATGAGAAATATTGCATAACTGTACCAGCTGTATTAAAGATTGATGCTGAAAATCAAAACACACTTTAAACAGACATTTAGTTTGCATTAGATGTGCGCACATTGATTCACTATGGAGGGCAAAAGACATGCTTTTTTTGATCACTGCTCATAATCAATCAGAAGAAGTGAATCTGCTTGTTATTCAGCCCATGTGTTTCCTTTTTCATGTGCCGATTCTGACAAAACGTAAAAAAACAAAACAAAACAAAGAACTCCAGTCCGTTGCTCTGCCATCTCTACATGCTGCTTCTATTTCTGCAGACCTTGCATCTCCAAAGTGTCAATAAATGTTTTGAATGGAATTATTCCTCATCTTAACTTAACTGCATAGTAAATATGTGGTGGTGTTTCACATTACAATGTTAAATGAACCGTGTTAACCCCACAAGACCACCCAGTAATACATTGTGCCTTATTTAGTAACAGGGACATACTTTTGAAGAGATATACTGGGCCAAAGTTTATGGATCGGGAACTACAGAGCAATGGAGATGCAAGGATATTGTTGGTGACAACATGCATACTTTGTGCTGACATGGCCCTGTTTGTTAACTAAAAGGGATGCACCAATGAACCAGTGTTCTGATTAGATGCACATACCTTTTCTTAAGGTATCTTCCAGTACTCAGAGCCAAGTGTGAAGTTTGAGGCAACAGTGGTAACCAGTGCACCATTGTTCCATAGAATTTGAAGGATTATAATGATTACTCAGACACATGTGGTAGATTCTATAACAAACAAACATCACAATGCACAAAAACCCATTTCTACTTAATTCTGTGTTAATAACTATAACTGATTATTAATCAAATTGATTGTAATATTATCTACAATTGATAATGAAGAACCATAAAAAGTGTAGTATGTGTAGTATCTGATGTTATGTTACTGTTATTTCACCCTTAAAATACATGAATGATGGTCTAACTCACACAAGATTTATTGATAACCAAATACTCCACTGTGTCTCCTTAGATTAAGATCATCCTGTGAAAGACAACAAGACCTTTGGAAAACAATCAAACAAAAAAAATCATACTTTAGGATCTTACTTTGTGGAAGTCAAGTCTTAGTTATGTCAAGAAACAACTGCTCTGAAAATAAATTGATGTTTACATTAATATTTGTATTCTACTTTCAGTAATTCTTTAATTAACAAATTAATAACAACAACAAACTTTGGTTGAGTGCTATCAGTAAATGCATTCAACATAACAGGCAATAATAATAAAACAATCTGAGTAATGTAGAAATCCCCTTAATCACACATGAAATGCAGATTTAGCCCAGCAAATTTAGACTTAAATGTAATTCCTACAGAATAAAAAAGACTGACTTGCTTCTAGTTTACAAGAATAATGCAACCACAGAATGCTAAACACATCTTAAGCTAGAAAGACCTGCTGTGTATTTGGTCTGAAACAGCAAATCTACTCCTTTATGCATGCTCACTTAAATGACAGAAAGTCCACAAGTGTTCACAATGAAGTGAAATAATAACCGACCTTGCTCTCCCGTGTGCCACGTGCTAATGAGATCCAAAAAATAAATGTTCACTCTTTTGGAAGAAGCTTTTTCATGTATCATTCTTCCTTCAGACAAACTCTCTTCCTGCTACTGTTTGTGCTCTATTTGACTTAAAAGCATCAGACGTAATGAAGGGTAAGCAATAAACCATGCTAAAACATACAGCATAATTTGTTGTTGTTGTTTTTAGGGGAAATGTATATGTTAATTTGTTTTTTTATGTTTCTTCAATTGAATTATAAGTGAATACTACAGTGATAGTACGTAAATGATCTTTACCATGTTTTTTGTTTTTCTTCATTTATTTAAGATAAGCAGAGGTTTCATCCATAAAATCATCATACTTTTTGTGAAGTCTGATGCTTTTATTTTCAAAGGTAGATGGTAGTAGGAAAAAAAGGTTTGTTATCACAAGCAATAGCAAGTAACATTGTTAGGCTTTCTCACAGGTCTTCTGTGTTTCTAAGTGAGTGTTTGAAAGTCTGTGCTTCCTATCATGCAAATGAAAGCTGCTGCTGCTGCAGCTAGAATGAAATTCTTCCAAACTGCTACTCAGTCCTGCCAATATCTAATGTAGTAAGTCCATTCAACTGAACTAAATGGACTGCCTTAGATCAGCCTGATCCAGCTTTTAGAGTCTGGGCCTCAAATGCAACACTGAACAATTCAATCTCCAGTCAACCACTTCAAAGGAAAACTGGGCACACCCAAAGGCGCTGGATCTTATTCATTGTTTTAGAAAAGCAGGGGTTTGGAAATGTTGAATTTCAACATTGAAAAAAAAAGATCTACATAAATAATCTGGGAAACAAATACCATTGACTGATACAGAGATCCTAATGCACACACTAAAAACATCTTAAAAATAAAAACAAATATGCCCGTAAACACATTTTGTATAAGTGTGTTTGTGTGTACATGTACATGTACCCTAACCATGCAGATCTGGATTTTTAAAATTTTATTTCTTTTAAGAAAAATTTTGGTCAGTTCTTAAGATCAGAAGCAAGCGGCACAGTGGTCATATAACCAGGCCAAGAAAATCAATGTCCATCTTCTCTCAAACCCAAGGCTGTCCTTCACAGCTGCTGGAAGGACAAACCCCAGCTTTTAGTCAGTGCCGATCTTTATCTGCCTGCCTGTAAGGCTGCTGTCAGTTCCACACATTGGGCTGCATATTTGTAAACCAAAACATAACATTTCATTTTGATTTAATTATTTTAATAAGAACAGAAGAACAGAAGTCAAATTTATGGAGTATACAATGATTAAACATTACAAAAAATACAATAATACAAATTGTTTTGTCATCCTGAAGACACAACTGATTGACTGATTAAACGTCAGAAGAGGTACAGTAGATGCGCATGTACATATCTCTGTATATGTAAGTGTATATGTACCATGAAAGGACACGCACTTACTTTCCAGAACGAATTATCTAAAGCATTTAGTTTTTCCGCTGGAAACTTTATTTGCTTTGTGACACTTCACTCAGTAGCAAATCCTCTGCTGTCCAATTAATGAACTATCACATTACTGCCACATGAAACAGCTGATGCTGTGCCCTCTGCGACCCTAAGGCTTACAGCAGATAGAAAGACTACTTACAACAGCTATAGTCCAAGATAGTGGTGAAATCAAAATTGATACAACAGAAACTTGACCGGTCAAACACAAGATTGGAAGCTCCAGGAAAACCGATTAACAGCAACTAAACTCAAGGGAACATTGTCCACTAGCAAATTTATCATAAATGGCTTCTTTCAAAACAAACAAAACAATTGCTGAAATGAGTTACTCCACATGATTGGGTGGCTGTTAGTCTCCTCATGAAGGGAAGACGTTTGTAATCGCTCTGTCTGTCTGTTTGACAGCAGTCTAGCATCAATAGTTTTCAAGATCTCATCTGTCTGTTGGTAGATACCAATAACAGCTCAAGATGATTTAATTTGAGGGAAAATCAGGTCAACGTTACACTAAATGTCAACATCAGTAAAAACCTTATATTAAAATTTTTTGACCATCTTCAAACTTCACAACAATTATACTAGGAATGTGGGGATAGGTTGGCCAAGCGTTTGACCTTGACCTTCATTATTCAAATTCAAT